ACCGGGTAACCGGGTCAGGAATTAGGAGAACGAATGGTTGTGGTGGTTATGCGATGTCGTTTCTTGTTCTTTATCTACAGGTCGGTCCAGGTGGGAGTGTACTGCGGACTTTTGGCAGGGCGGCGCCCCCTGGAGGCGGCTCTGGCCCCCTGCGCTCCTTCCTGAGCCTGCTGGATCCTCTGACACTCTTTAAGGTTCTGAGCCCGAACTTCTGCGCTCATGATCCTCTCCACCACACGGATGGGGAACCAGCCTCGCTCGCCGTCATGTAACCTTTCACCCAACATCCAGCCTGAGGCCGAGAGATGAATATGACATGAAAGTTCAGAGAGAAGAAAAACAGGAAGGACATGTCACAAAAATACTAAAACAGAACAGACCAAAGGAAGCAACATAGCGAGAGAGACAAGTTCATGCAAATGACAGCAGATGATGCAGAAATGAAAGACAAAGACCGGGTCTAGCCAAAAACAGGAAAGTCTGATAAAGTTGCATGGCTTTTATTGAAGGTAAACACTGACTGATTTTTAAGGACGTCTAGTGTTTGTGATCTCTTACCATCATCTGTGCACTCCAGAATGTGCAGCACATCAGCCATTTCTACAGAGAGCTCATCAGGTTCCTGAGAGGAGTAGGACTGGATGCACTGAACCTGTGCAGAATCTGACATGCACCAGAAAAACAATAAATCATACTGCATACAGATACAGATACAATGAAACACACTAATTCAACTCATGAAAATAAAATAAATATATATTTTAAAATTATTTATTTAATATTATTATAAATAAGATTATATTATTTAAAAAATAACATAAAATTACATTGTATTATATTATTTTTAATAGTATTTGTAATATTTATTATAATTTTCTAATATTGTAATATAATAAAATATAATTACTTATAATATTAAAATAATATAATAATAATTTTAAATATATATATATATATTTTTATTGTATTATATATTATTTATTAAAAATATATATCATATTATATTTATTTTATAATGTTAGAAAATGAAATCATAAATATATATTATATAAAATAATAAATATATATTATGATATTATAAAGTTATATATTTTTGATTATATTTCTACATTATTTATGTTATGGTATTATAAATAAAAATGTTTTTTATATATATATATATAATATTTACTATTAGATTATTTTATATTGTTATAAATAAAATAAACAAATGCTATATTATTTACTGCATAATATTAGAAAAAAATATAATATATTTATATTATGTATTATTATATTATTTATTTTACTTTAAATAAAATAAAATGTTAAAATAGGCTTTTATGTCACTTATTTACTAGGACGGAGAAATAGGACAGTAAAAGATGATAAATAGAGAAGGAACAGGGCTGAGAAATTAGATTTTGGGCCAATTACAGAGCTAACTAGTATGATGACAGAAATAGAAACTTTCTAATTATGACAAATAGAGATGGGATTTATCTTGTCTGATTCAGACACATTTAGCAGCTTGAGCTTTTATCCAAACCAATGTGCATTCAAGCTACAGCTATACGTTTCTTTAGAATCAAATGCATAGCGCTGTGCTACATAGGGTGTGCATGCATATATGTGATGTACCTGGTTGGTGTGTGCTGGTTGAGAGGAATCTCGTACGTCGGTTTGGAGTCAAAGCATATATCCAGCGCAGCTTATCACTTCTGTAAACATTCAGAGCGCCATTAGTGCACAAAGCAAATATATACTGCAATCTCTGTGATAATGGCTTAGGACTGCATTCTCACATGCTTTCAGACTTGAGCATGTAGCTGACTTCTCTGTCCTCCTGGTTCTCCAGCAGTTTCAGCACAAACGCACAGGCCAGCATCTGACCCTGATCCTCCAGGTCTTCAGTCCTCAGCATGGAGCGACTGCAAGAGTCCAGAACCTGGTACTTCTCTCCACTGAAACACACATACAAAAAACATACAATAAAAAATTTAGCAAAAACAAACATAATACCTAAAAAAAATCATGCTTATAGGAGTGTTAGACTAATATCAGTCAAGTACATTTTTCTGACAATATTTAGCAATTTTGAGCGATTTCAGCATTCATATTTCAACAATCAATATCAGCAAACCATTAACGGACAATAAACTATTTATATTTTTTTGTCATTTTTAAATACATGTTTTTATAACGTTAACCATATTAGTGTCCACACCAACAGACAAAATCATGTTTTTGCTCAACATAAGCTGAAATGAAACACACTAATTTAACTCATGACAGATCGAAACAAAACAAAACCAAATAAAATAACAAAAAAACATTATATTTTTATAATAATTAAAATTGTATATTATATAATTTTTTTATATAATTAAAAATGTTATAAATAATATTGTATTATTATTAGACTTTATTTTAATATTATAAATAAAAAGAAAAAAAATAAATATATATACACATATATGTACATACATAATTATAATGATTTAATCTATTTTAAATATATAATGAAATATTTTTCATATGATTTATTATTAAATGACTTATTGTTTAATATAAATAAATATATTTTTATTTTACAATATTAACGTCCACACGAATGTATGATATTGTTATGTTTATTATAAGCTCATGTTGCTGTTTTGTGTGGATTCGGATTGGCTGTCAATGTTTTTATCGTTCATCAGCTGGGAAAAAAAAATTGTTTCAACGGTATCGTTCCTCTGTGTCATTTTAGAACGATTTTAAAAACGTTATCTCTATTGGTATAACAACAATGAACAGTCTGAACAGTTTATTTCATTTCCACACTTTTGTGTAATAATCTCATTTGCTGTCAGTAAATTGTATTATATGTAAATCAGAGTCTCTCTTGATTTCCATATTGGCATTGACCAACTGATGACATAATGTGAAGTGCCGCTGATGATATCACAGACCTGGAGCTGCGTTTGGTGATGAGCAGCAGGTTATTGAACAGGAACAGGTAGATGGGGTGGTAGAGCTTGCGGCTGCGCATGGTCCTGGTGCTCTTGGGTCCGGACATCTGCTGCACCTCACCCTTCTTCAGGAGCCAGCGAGAGTGAGAAATCACCGGCACCGACTGCAAACAAGAGAAGAGAACTGCACTTAATGGGCCTATAAAGATGAGGGCTGTAAGAGTTTCACTCTAAGACACGAGTAAAGACTTCTTATTAAGGGCTTTTGTAACAATTAAAGGGATAATTCACACAAAAATTATATTCAGGTGATCATTTACTCTCCATCATATCTTTGCAAACCCAAATTACTATTTTACATGAAACAAAAAAAGATGATATGTTCACATTGCTCATTTTTATAGAATGAAAATGCATGGCAATGAATTCAAGAGGTGTTTTTAATGTCACTACGTTTGATATTAATATACCAAATGCCATTGATTCTCGTATGTATCATAACTGAATGAGATACATCATGTTTGACTCAACAAATGCAAATAAAAGCTAGAAAATATTTTAGCGCACAATGACTTACATGTTATTCCATTACAGTAATCACATACAGCTATTACCGCATTTTCAACAAATATGTTGCATCTGAATAGTCAAACTGGGTCAACATTTGCATTGTTGTGCATTGCCGAGAAAAAAAAATGCATTGGTGTATAAGTCTTTTTTTAATAATATGCATATCAAAATGCAATAATAAAATTGTATTATTGCATTTTGAAATAATGCTAAATACTGATAAATAAAACGAAACATTTACTAACATTCGAAACAGTACACTGAAAAATTCACTCAAAATTGCTAGAAAATTTCACAAATAATTACAAAGAAACAACAAGTAACATTGAATTAAATGTGACATTTTGAAGCTGAAAGACTGAAAAGGTATTTTCTTGTAAAACATACTCCAATTTTTTTTTACACCTTCAAATTATTATTATTATTATTATTATTGTTGTTGTTGTTTTTTTACAGCGTATTAACATATTTTACAGCTTTTTTTGTCTTTTTCCACACTTGACAGTCACCAGTCCCTATTAAATGTCATGCTATGCAAAAGAGCAGCTTCTTCTAAACATCTCCTTTTGTGTTCAACGGAAGAAAGTAAGTCATACGGGTTTGGAATGACATGAATAAAAGACATTTTGGGGTAAACTGTTCCTTTTAGTACAGCAGAAGTGTGCATTCTGGGATACGGCACAGCATCTTTAGTCTTTCAGTACCTTCGACTTGAATTCAAGTGTTTTCTCGATGCTGATCAGCTCTTCAGTGCGACTCATCTTCCTCACTCCCGTTTGGTGATGAGCAGCAGGTTATTGAACAGGAACAGGTAGATGGGGTGGTAGAGCTTGCGGCTGCGCATGGTCCTGGTGCTCTTGGGTCCGGACATCTGCTGCACCTCACCCTTCTTCAGGAGCCAGCGAGAGTGAGAAATCACCGGCACCGACTGCAAACAAGAGAAGAGAACTGCACTTAATGGGCCTATAAAGATGAGGGCTGTAAGAGTTTCACTCTAAGACACGAGTAAAGACTTCTTATTAAGGGCTTTTGTAACAATTAAAGGGATAATTCACACAAAAATTATATTCAGGTGATCATTTACTCTCCATCATATCTTTGCAAACCCAAATTACTATTTTACATGAAACAAAAAAAGATGATATGTTCACATTGCTCATTTTTATAGAATGAAAATGCATGGCAATGAATTCAAGAGGTGTTTTTAATGTCACTACGTTTGATATTAATATACCAAATGCCATTGATTCTCGTATGTATCATAACTGAATGAGATACATCATGTTTGACTCAACAAATGCAAATAAAAGCTAGAAAATATTTTAGCGCACAATGACTTACATGTTATTCCATTACAGTAATCACATACAGCTATTACCGCATTTTCAACAAATATGTTGCATCTGAATAGTCAAACTGGGTCAACATTTGCATTGTTGTGCATTGGCGAGAAAAAAAAATGCATTGGTGTATAAGTCTTTTTTTAATAATATGCATATCAAAATGCAATAATAAAATTGTATTATTGCATTTTGAAATAATGCTAAATACTGATAAATAAAACGAAACATTTACTAACATTCGAAACAGTACACTGAAAAATTCACTCAAAATTGCTAGAAAATTTCACAAATAATTACAAAGAAACAACAAGTAACATTGAATTAAATGTGACATTTTGAAGCTGAAAGACTGAAAAGGTATTTTCTTGTAAAACATACTCCAATTTTTTTTACACCTTCAAATTATTATTATTATTATTATTGTTGTTGTTGTTTTTTTTACAGCGTATTAACATATTTTACAGCTTTTTTTGTCTTTTTCCACACTTGACAGTCACCAGTCCCTATTAAATATCACGCTATGCAGAAGAGCAGCTTCTTCTAAACATCTCCTTTTGTGTTCAACGGAAGAAAGTAAGTCATACGGGTTTGGAATGACATGAATAAAGGACATTTGGGGGTAAACTGTTCCTTTTAGTACAGCAGAAGTGTGCATTCTGGGATACGGCACAGCATCTTTAGTCTTTCAGTACCTTCGACTTGAATTCAAGTGTTTTCTCGATGCTGATCAGCTCTTCAGTGCGACTCATCTTCCTCACTCCTTCATTGCATTCCTTCACAATCTGAGAGACACAAACACACACCCACATCTGCATTAATATCGCCACATGTGGGGATTTCCCATCCACTTCTATTTTAATGAAGAGCTATTTATAAGTACTCTACACTAACCCACATATTCATCCTAACCTTGAAATGCAACTTTAGGTATTTTTAGATACAAATTAGACCATTATTAAACTCATTTTAAAAACGAATTTCCTTGTGGAAACGTCTCCCGTTCATCAGGTTTTACTAACTTATTAGAAAAACATACTCCCACACACAAGAACAAGTCTGACTAAATAACACTTTTACGTTTCACTCGAACTTGGAGTTCAACAAATCTTTATAATTGAGCAAACTGCAGACGACCTCTGGGGCATAAACTTTGCCTTGAGGTCTTCGGAGTCGGTTTTTATTGAGAGCCAGTCTTGATTGTGTTAATGACAGATCAGAATCATAAGTTTGACCAGTAAAAACATTTTGCATCTTCATCGAATTCATAAAATAGAAAGTGTTGTAAAGTCATATACAAAACAAACACACCAAAATAGCAGCATCCTTAACAGTTAAAGGTAGTCAGGCATCTGTACACATGATGCCTTTCTATTTATCGTATGCTATTTTATCAACCAGTGGTAAATTATGCACTTTTTGTTGATAATTATTTTGCAGAAGCATATAGTGGTGAATTAATGTAGCAATTATGTATTTCCTGTAAACAACCACAACAAAGCACCACATGGATCCATTTTTGCATTATGATTGTTGCCATAACAACAAATAATTTGAGTCGGAGGACTTGAATAGCAGTTGAATCACAATGATGTTAATTCCAACATAAACATTTAAAAATGTTTAAAGAAAAGAATTCAGAACAAAAGCAGCATTCTACCTCACAGCTGTTAAAGTCGGTGACAAAAGATGTGGCACGGTAACCTTGGTAACAGGGTGAGACATTGAGACATTGACAGGTGAAAGTCCAGAATGAGACACAGTAATGACAAAGCTCATTACCACACCCTGGAATCAAAATGCACACACACACACAAACATACACTTACCCTTTCCAACTCTTGATGAGCTAATATTGCAGTCTTTTCGCTCTCGGAATTTTCTTCCACCTTCTTCAGAATATTCTGGAACAAAAAGAAGCCATTTTGATAAAGAGACAGACAGACTTATGCTACTGAGCTAATTCTAAGACATTTGATTGGCCGACTCATTCCTTACGCAAGTTATTCGAGACTTCTAATTGGCTGACGCTTTACCTGAACAAGTAGTTTGAGTCGCGTAATTCGCTGGAAGGGGAGGATGAGGAAGGAGGTAAACGAGAGGCCCTTCACTTTCGGCTGATTCTCCAAAATGGCTATATTCTCTCGAAAAAGAGCATTTTCTTGTCTGAAAAACACACACAGACATTTATGTATACGTGTGTTAATGCAAATATAGCCTGCAGTTGTAAAACAAAGAGGCAGCGATAGGCAAGTTACACAAAAAGTAGCTAGCTAAAATACACACTACTCTTCGGAACAAAAAAAGCTTTTGAAATACCGTCAAAAAACAACTAACATAGTATTTAAGAGAGTTTGTATATATTAGACAAGTAAAGTTACATACATCCAAGCTGCAAACAAGCACATAGATCATAATTTATGCATTGAGCAGACACTTTTATCCAAAGTGACTTACAGTGCATTCAGGCTATACATTTTTTACCAGTATGTGTGTTCCTTGGGAATTGAACCCATGACCTTTTGCGCTGCTAACGCAATGCTCTACCACTGAGCCACAATAATACAATTCTGTCAGGACCACTATCGTCAAAGATGATTGACAATTATCATACAGTTTGGATTGGCGGTATGGTTCTGTTCTGGGCAAGAACTCCCTGCGCCTCCATGTAGCCTAGCATGGATGAGAGCAGGGAGAGCAGCAATAACCCCCCAGGGTAAACAGAACAGAACCAACATAAATGTATTGCAGATATTGTTAAAGTTCAATCATTTTATGTACACATTTTAGAATTAGTTTGATTCAAGGAGAATCAAAAGGCTGAATCCCGACTGAAAGAGGAGGAGTTGGGGATGGAGGAGGGTAATTAGCTATTGAGCAATGCGAAAACTGCTGATATTACTGAGGGACCTTATACATGAATGCTTAGATAGGCGTCGTCTTCCCACAGGGAGATGGGGATCAGCTGAAGGTCAGCTGATGAGAGCTTGACTAACGTGACCTGCCAGAACTAACGCTACGCTTGATTATAATCATAGTGCGCAATGCTTGTCCCTTAAACCTTGATTTACTTAAAAGAAGTGACTCTTGAAAATGAATAAATCGTTCTTTCCTGATTCATTGAAAAGAACTGATTCAAAAGATTTCTGAATCAGACACCGCTTGTTCTGATTCTAAACAGCCAAATGACTGTATCTATATTGCTTAAATAATAATGTTAATCAGCATTACTTAGTTGATTTGAACAAACTTTTTCTACTTGGATGCATTACTACTTTGTCACTACTTTTACATAATGCTTCAAATCATGCTGTTTGTTGGGGAAAGGTGTGCTCACTTTCTCCTGGCAGACACAACATAGTTTTATTTAATTGCTGTCAGATGAAACTGCTTTGCATATTGCTGTTAGAGTAATTATAATCATACATCTTGACATCCAGATTAGTCATATTAAACTGCATTCACAGTCCACAACCAAAAGTAAAACCGCAAAGAAAGTTGGAAATGTATCACTCCAAAATAATTTGCATAAATGCACATTTTAATTTCAGTTAGTGTCATGTTCACCTGAGACGTGGGATGCTACTACTTACTGAGGACAGTACTTTATACTGCTTACTATAAAAAAAATTCAATTTAGTAAATTTATAATAAATAATAATTAAAATAATAAATTTAGTTTTGTATAAAAGTGTCTAAACTTAAGGCAGTCCAATCAAATATTGGGTAACTGACGAGATTTGTAAAAGTTGTGGCTGATTTTCCTTCTGATTCCATCATCACACATCGAATGGAAGGTCAAGTAGGACACACATTTCATTGTGGGATACATTATTCTGCGTAGTGTGCTTCTGATCTGTTATATACAGCATATTGACTCTGATTTTGCCAAAAGTACTAGGTCATTCTGTGCAAAACAGAAACTTTGGATAGTGTGAAATACTGCAGAGATAGCATGACTAGCATTTAAGCATGACATACAGCATTTGTTCCATACATAGCCTGATATTTCACACAGATTTTTGACAAATATGTGCAGTTTAGTCTCTTTTCCAGCAGGTGGCCTATAAATAAAGCAGCTTAGAATGAAGTTCAGCAATGCACTATGATTGCACAAGAGAAATGGAGTTTGAACAGCAGCATTTGCTTTAAACTTCTTATTCTTCATTTTGCATATACTGCTATATATATATATATATATATATATATATATATATATATATATATATATATATAAAATAATATTTTTTATTTATATATATATATATACACATAGTAAAAAAATTATAATCAAAAAACACTTTTTAAAGGAGTATTTACCAGAAATATTATTTACCAGAATTTATTTAGGAGAAAAATGTAAATGTGCAGTATTTCTGAAAAATCCTTTTCAGATTCTTTTTTTTTTTTTTTTATAAAATCAATTAATTGGAGATGCTTTTGATTATTAAAGTTTAATGGATCCATTATAATGGAATCCAGAAAATAATGGAAAACACAATTTGGTAAAGATAAAACTGTAAAACTCAATTTTTTTTTGTATATACAGCTATATATATATATATATATATATATATATATATATATATATATATATATATATATGAAATAATAGGTTTTATTGTTATAAATATAAATACAATTAGTATTTAGTAAGAAATTGCCTCTAGGACAACACAATGAACTACTTGAAATGAACTTAACTAGGTCACAATGAAGGAAGATGGTTTATGAGGTTAGAGTTTATCTTTATGAACCTGTGTGGTTTAAAAACAACAAAACACCATTGTTTCTGCTGCACCTACCTAGCTGTTGTTATGAATGTAAAGCACACACACACACAGACTGGGTTTAACCCTAATCTTAAAAGGAACGGAAAGCACTGAAACTCCCAGAAAGTCCCAAGAGCTTTGCACGGCTCACAAACCCAAACAAATGAAAGCACCTACACAAACCCTTACACAACAAATCAGAAGCCAGCGAGAAATGAAGCCTCAGGCTAGAATCCAGGTAGACAGCTGGTCTGTGGAGACACTGAACATGCATGCAGAGCTGATTTACACAGCAAACGCACATTACTGTCCCTCCCTGTCTTGAAAATACCCGACATTTACTATTGTAAAGCTATTGTATGACTTGGGACATGATGTATGAGTTGCATTATGCTATGAATAATCCAGCTTTTGAGTTCTATGCAAGAAAATATGGGTTTGGGACAGCATTAAAAATGGTCACGGGGGTAAACTATCACTTTAATAAATGTAAAGTGTAATGGAATTTCACTAAGTGAAGGAAGCGTGGGAAGACTGCAGGTGACAGACACATTGATGCATTGTAGTTGTTGTTCCTTGTATGAGCCACACCCACCAGTCAAATCCAGTCACTGTGTCACATTTAATTACAAGTCATCATATACAACGTCACGCTTTTCGGTTTCGACACAAACAAGGAAATACGTACAAAGGCAAAGAAAGCATTTCGGACCAGAATTGATCTGCATGTTAGTTTAGTTGTTCACCAGACAAATTTAGCTGGTTGATCAGCATGCTCTTTCTGGTGAAGCTGGTTAACCAAGTAACTCTTTTTAACTAAAGATTAACTGGTAACATTTTACAATAAGGTCTTATTTGTTAGCACTAGTTAATGCATTAGCTAACATGAACTAACAATATATCTTTGCAGCATTTATTAACCTTTGTTAGTTGTTAAATGTTTGTTACTTTATGCACTAACTGACGTTAACAAATACAACTTTTCATTTTAATAATGTATTAGTAAATATTGAACTTAACATCACGAATAAATGCTATGCAAGTATTGTTCATGTTAACTAATCTACTGATATGAAACCACATTGTAAAGTGTTACCGATTAACTAAATTTTAACTAATAGATATAACAATACTTTCACCAGTTGATTACTCACAGTAAATGAAGACAATTGTTTTGCATTTCACGCTTAAATATGTTATGCTTAAATATGCAAATGAGACATTGTCTAATTAAATATGCACTAATTAGCAGAAAATTCCAGAACGCCATTTTGAACATTGGATGAAGTCAGGTTCAAAATTCTTGTTTAATTAGAGTTAAAGGTTTTTACAGAGAGGACAGAAAATACCGTCAACAGCTAGAAAAAATAGTGCTTTTTACCAAGTTTTCTGGGAATAAATTGTTCTATAAATCAGACGAATGATATATAAGCAACCCCCTCTGTAAAAATCCTTCAGGATAAACATTGCAATGAAGTGTAGTGTACGTAAGTGCTACTGAAGTGGAGATTTCTGGTTTACTGCATGAGAATAAAACTCATTTTAAGAAAAAGGCCTTTTGTAATTGAAATCTACAGGCACAAATAGAGAAAGTGCATTAAAATAAACACTTAAACTGTATTTTGGATGTTTTCTATACACTATATACTATACTCTATACACTACACTCTGAAAGACGACACATTATAAAAGCAAAATAGCCCAAAATCTCAAAACTGACCAGCTATAGATGTATTTGCGTTCACATACTTTCATAGTATATATTTTGTGACTGTAAGGTGAATATTTTGGAATGGCACACCAAAAATGTCCCTCCTACCTGACTGAAATCGGCATATCTGACCTCTAATTATTAAATATTTCCCCTTTGTTCATATGCAGAGGTAAGAAATTTTCTTACAGTATCCGTCTGTAGTTCTTCTCCTGGTACGCCTGGTTGATGACGTAGCTGATGAAGACTTGGAAGTGGTTAACAGCGTGAATATGAACAATGTCGCACACGTCTGACATCAGGATGGACTCTTCGATCCTGTGTTCCAGATCCATGAGGAACCTGAGGAAAGTATGAGGTCATCAACAATATTATGGCTATGTGACATTTTGTATACGCAATTAAGACATGTACTTCAGTGGGGAATGGGGAAAGTACATACTGTTTACGTATTGTTTATGTTTGCATGTAAGTGCTAGCATCCAGATAATTTATGCAAGCTTAACTGAAAAAGCTTGCATGGGCAATAACTTCGAAAATCCACTATCATTAGTTTACATCTGGCCAATTTTGTTTAGTGCCGCTAGTGATGCAGAAATGAAACATTTCTCTTTACAGAAACGTTAGCTTGAGCTCATTAGCTTAGCTGTGCACCAACAAGCACATCTTATAAAAGAAAGAAAGTCAAATCAATCTTGTCTTCCAATGTTCACTGTACAAGAGCAGGTTTGGAAGAGTCGAGCTTTTCCTGACTCATGCGCATGAATCATTGCATTAGTGGGTGGATTTGCATGCTATAAAGCTAGCTGGCTGGAATCAAATCGCACCAACACTTTAATTTTAGCCTGTGGGCAATAATGGGTATCAGGGTGAATGGGAGGAAGTTTCACTTCTGAAATATGATCGAAGCAAGATGATGTTGAAGTTTATTAATACTGATTGCTATGTGAGACAAAACTAGTTTAAACTACATAAGAATTTAGAAGGCTATTTATTAGATTACTAAAGGCAGATGTCATAATATGTGACTACACATAGAAAAAACTAAAAAAAATATAAATAAATGAATATACTAATAATTAATTAACTAATAATAAATACATTAGGCCTACTGATATTCAAAACTGATATATTTTAGAAAATTTTATAAATATATTTGTTTGTTTGAAATACATAAATTACTAAATATTTTCAAAATAGATATATTTTAGCAAATATTCTGAATATTTTTTCCAGATTTCCCCTGATATATGTTTGGCTTTTTCTTTTTTCTTTTTTGTATATTTATATAAAATGTGTCTTCACAATATATTTTGGAAATGTATTTTGATTTTAAAATATATATATAAATTAATACAATGTACAAAAATAAATACATTTGAGCAATTATTATTATTATATTTGTTTTTTTGTATATTTAAATAAAATATTTTTTTAATATATTTGGAACATATATTTTGAATTACATTATTACTGTAACTGATCGCTCTTAATAATTGACTGATTATTATCTGATAAACTGATTAATCGCATAGGTTCCCCCACAAACACACCTCTCGCTTGCTTTCATGATGTCCTCAATGTTGGAGAACAGGAAGTGCATGTCAGACTGACTCAAGGTGTTGACAAGCAGAGGGTTTCGTAGAAAGTGGGTCTCCAGCAGCTCCAGGCTTTTGTAGTACGACGCCTCAGAGGTCACCAGTTCAAACATGGCCTACAGAAAGAGCCAGAGACACATTCAATTAACGTGCACTGCTATTGCCGAGTGTTTTTGCTGTTAGTACATACCGTTCAAAAGTTTGGGGTCAATACAGTTTAAAATAAATAAAGAAATTAATCATTTTATTCAGCAAGGATGCATTAAATTGATCAAGACTGTCAGTAAATACATTTGCACTGTTTCAAATAAATGCTGTTCTTCTGAACGTTCTAGTCATGACAGAATCCTGAAGAAATGCAACAAGGTTTCCACAAAATATATTAAGCAGCACAGCTGTTTTCAACTGATAATAATAAGAAATATTTCTTGAGCAGCAAATCAGCATAACTTGACACTGAAGAGTAATGATGCTGAAAATTTGGCTTTGCATCACAGCAATAAATTACATTTTAAAATATACTCAAACAGAAAACAGTTCTCTTAAATTGTAATATTATTTCACAATATTACTGTTTTTACTGTATTTTATTGAAATAAATGCAGCCGTGGCAAGCATTAGAGACTTTTGAACAGTAGTGTATGTTGCATCTTTATACACTAGTCGATACAAAGCATGTGTCCCACCTCCTGCAGTATGATCTCCTTTGTCTCCAGTGTCTTCAGTAGTCCACTGTCCTTCACAGCCTCCAGGTTTTGCCAGAGGCTCAGTGAATGCATGCTGTTCCTCAGCTGTAGCTGTAAAGCAGGCGCAGCCGTGACCCCTGACCCTGTAGCCGGAAGCCCATCTCTCTGTCGACGCTGCTCGATCTCCTGCTGCTTAGAGGTGTCGCGGTACTCTTGATACAAAACATCTGGGCACAAACACATTATAGCACAAAATTATGATTTGGAAGAATATTTTTCACACATTGAGATCTTTTATCACATGTGACAGTATAGACGTTAAAAGCACACTATAGTAAATACATATTTCTCATTCACATTTCTAAACAACCAATATGGCAGCATGAGCCTCTTACGAATTGACTTCAACTTAAGTTTGTGTCAAACTTGCAAAGCACAGCTGGTCACTTTAAAGTCTCTTTAAAGCAAGTCAATGTTGCCATGGATGCTATTTTCTATGTTTTATATAAAGATGCATACATATATAATGCAGTGTTATTTTTTAGTATTATGGATATACTATCATAAAATGCTTTCATATTTTAAATTAGTTTTTATTTTATATAATCTCAGTTTTCTTTTTAATTTTAATTGAATTTTTTGTCATTTTGCTATGTGCTTTCATAATTTTTTATTAGTTTAGCTTTTCTTTATTTTAGTTTTAGTTTTAGTAATTTTAGCATTTTTAACTTCAACTTATTTTATTTAAAAAATGTGCCAAGAATAGCATCTCACCAAGAAAGAGTGAGATGCAGATCAGGAATGAGCTCACATTCACTCAGCGGTCTCTACCTGTCTGAGCGTCTACATGATAACAGCATGTGCATACTGCATGTGTGTGTGTGTGTGTGTGTGTGTGTGTGTGTGTGTGTGTGTCTGTATGTGTGTCTCAAATGTGTGACTTTGTTCAGAGGAAGGCAGTTGCATAATGTCCTGTAGTCACATTCAACAAGACCTTCAGGTGGGTGTTCAGCACAGTCGTTTACATAACAGAAGAAGAGAAGAGAAGAGAAGAGAAGAGAAGAGAAGAGAAGAGAAGAGAAGAGACGAGAAGCTGATAGACTTGCAGAGAATAATTATAAATAGGTATAGCTAAATTTTCATTATTAACACATATTATGAATATGTATTCCTGATTTCTTCTAAAATTTATTTGCATTTTGTATAATTTTAGCAAATGGCTGCAATATAACAAAGAGTGAAACATTTAAGGGGGTCTGAATACTTTCCGTACCCACTGTATGTTACAAATATTTTGGACATACATTTCATTTTAAAATAAATTACGAAATATATTGAAAACTAATATATTTAACATAATATTATAAATATTATATTAGAATGTTATATTTTGGACATACATTGGAAATACATTTAAAATAAAAATATACAAATTAATAAATATATTCAAAACAGATATAATGAATATATATATATATATATACACACACACACAGTAATTAATTTAAAATATATTCCATAAAATGTTTTTTTAAATATTTTTTTGCCTTAAAATTTAATTTTTTTATATATTAAAAAATAGATACATTTCAATATATTATGAATATGTAGTCTTGATTTCTCCAGATTTTTTTTTTTGGGGGGGGGGGGGGGGGGTGGGGGATGGGAGGA